GTTGCATTGGAAAAAAAATATGGGAGATATGTTGACATTCCTCTAAAGATGAAGATTTGCTTCACTAAATAGCAAATGTACATTCCACTTTTCTGTTTTGTGGCCTTTCTATGTATATAATATTTCGTTTCAATGCCAAAGTTACAGAGGAAAACTTTATTTTTAGACATTTCAAATAGTGGTTAAACTCAACCTGTAAAATAGCAAACAACAAAGTCGATTATTCAGGTTACATAAAGAGAATGGACAGCTCTTACCAAGTGTGAACATGTTGCTCTCCATCAACAGCAATTAAAAGGCCATCTACTACAGAAGCACCTCAATTTCAGAGGTGTCAAAATATAAAACACAGCTATCTTGGCCTGGTGCAGTTGCTCACGCCTGTAATCCCAGCACTTTGGGAGGCCAAGGTGGGAGGATCGCTTGAGCCCAGGAGTTGGAGACCAGCCTGGGCAACATGGCAAAACCTCGTATCTACAAAAAATACAAAAATTAGCTAGGTGTAGTGGTGTGCGCCTGTAGTCCCAGCTACTCAGAAGGCAGAAGTGGAAGGATCACTTGAGCCTCAGTAGTCAAGGCTGCAGTGAGCTGAGATTGTGCCACTGTACTCCAGCCCCAGTAACAGAGCAAGACCCCATCAAAAAAAACAGTTCTTTTATCAGTAAGTATGTATCTTATAATTTCTATAATTTAACTGTCATATATTTAATAGATGATAGATGGAACACCTATGAATGTCAACATTCTCCTATTTTTAGAGATGGGGTCTTGCTCTGTCTCCCAGGCTCGTGTGCAGTCATGTGATCATGACCCACTGTTATCTCTAACTCCTGGGCTCAAGCAATCCTACCACCTCAGCTTGCCAACGTGCTGGGATTACAGGCGTGAGCCACCATCTGCCTATTAAAAATACATTTAATGGCTCACACCTGTAATCCCAGCACTTTGGGAGACTCAGGCAGGTGGATCACCTGAGGTTGGGAGTTCGAGACCAGCCTGACCAACATGGAGAAACCCCATCACTGCTAAAAATACAAAATTAGCCAGGTGTGGTGGCGCATGCCTGTAATCCCAGCTACTCAGGAGGCCGAGGCAGGAGAATCACTTGGACCCAGGAGGTGGAGGTTGTGGTGAGCCAAGATCAAGCCATTGCACTCCAGAGTGGGCAACAAGAGAGAAACTCCATCTCAAAAATTCTTTTTTAATAAATCATATTCCATTGCATTCACCCCTATTTAGCATCATAATTTCCTTTTTGTTATTTATGTATTTATTTGAAAAAAATTTTTTTTGAGATGGAGTCTCACTCCTTTTTATATAAAATACAGATTTTTCCCTTTTGGCGTGGCTTATAGACTCACAGATTGTCAGAGATGTAAATCATTTCAATTAGCCATAACTACCTTTTTTTGTTTTTTTTTTTTTGATTATCAAATGACAAAAATGACACAAGTTGATCAGGCCTGCCTTTAAGCTGGCTCTTTTGTCCTTTCAACATTACTCTGACATTTTAAAAACATCCTTGCTTCCTGAAAACATTAAGATATTCTATCTTTATTTTTTCTCCCTATCATAGGACATGACATTAGCTACTTTCAATGGCTACTAGAATTTAAGAGCAAATCTGGGCACACACTGGGGTTCCAACTTAGATCATTCCATTTTAGTATCAGTGTAGCCAGGATGATAGCACTGCTAGGTGCCAAGTTAATGGCAGAGCTGAAAAAGGTATTTCTCTTGAAAATCTTGAGTTCATGTCAATTTCTCCATGTGTAATAGAGAAATATTCTAATCTATATTGTATTCTAAACTAACTCTAAATCCCTTTAAATTCTGATCCAATACACAGTTTTAAATTTGTTTTCTATACAAAATGCTTACTTAAAGGTTGAACCTTTGACTTATTCATTATTTTATCATATCATCTTTTTTTTTTTTGTTTTGAGAGACTCTTCTCACTCTGTCACCCAGGCTGGAGTGCAGTGGCACGATCTCAGCTCACTGCACCCTCCCCTTCCAGGGTTCGAGTGATTTTCCTGCCTCAGCCTCCTGTGTAGCTGAGACTACAGGCTCGTGCCACCATGCCTGGCTGATTTTTGTATTTTTTTTTTTAGTAGAGATGGGGTTTTGCCATGTTGGCCAGGCTGATCGCGAAATCCTGACCTCAGGCGGTCCACCCTCCTTGGCCTCCCAAATTGCTGGGATTACAGGCATGAGCCACCACGCCTGGCCCATCTTTTCTTTTATAATTCTTATATGTCTCATCAGTCACCAACCTGTAGTAACTTAATTGACACTTTCAAATTTCCTCCAATAAATTTTGTATAAATTAATACTCAGTGCTTATGCTCATGGCAGCATTATTTACAGTAGCCAAAATGTGGAAGCCATCCAAGTACCCATCAATGGATGAATAGATAAACAAAATGTGGCTTATACATGTAATGGACTATTATCCAGCCTTAAAAAGGAAGGAAATTTTCATGTATGCTACAATGTGAATGAATCTAAAGGACATGATACATTACATAAGCCAGGCACAAAAAGACAAATACAATATTATTCCACTTTTATAGAGTGCCTAGAGTAGTCAAATTCATACAGACAAAAAGTGGATGGTGATTGCTAGGGGCTGGGAATAAGGGGAATGGAGAGTTGTTGTTTAATGAGTATAGAGTTTTAGTTTTAAAAGATGAATTCTGGAGACTGGTTATACAAAGTGTGAATATACTTAACACTACTGAACTATACATTCTGTATACCATAAAAATGGCTAAAATGGTAAATTTTCTATAGTGTTTTTCTTTTTCCCACAATTAGACATTTTTAAAAGTTATGCTCTCATCAAGAGGGCATGGGGATACTTATTTTTCCTAAAATTACATTTGCAGTAGAAAAGCCAACTAGCTTTATTTTTTAATATTAAAGAAATTAATTGGAAGAATTAACAATACTTAACAATATATTAATATAGTATATGTTCCCCCACCACTGAGAGAGAATCCATTGTTTATATTGAATTTCCAAAAACATATCTGACCTTAAAAGATGCTGAAAACCATTCTTCTACAGAAATGGAAATTTTCAAAAGTGACTTTGGAAATTATATCAATATTTTGTCCAATAAAACTATGAGAATATTTATATGGGCCAGAATTAAGATGTGAAAATAACTTAAAATATTGTTGAGTAGACCAGATCTAACAATTTAACAAATTATAAAGTTCCATTTTTTTGTTTTTCGAGACGGAGTTTCACTCTTGTTGCCCAGGCTGGAGTGCAATGGCGTGATCTCGACTCACTGCAACCTCCACCTCCTGAGTTCAGGCAATTCTCCTGCCTCAGCCACCTGAGTAACTAGGATTACAGATGTATACCACCACGCCCGGCTAATTTTTGCATTTTTGGCAGAGATGAGGTTTCACCATGTTGGCCAGGCTGGTCTCAAACTGCTGACCTCGGGTGATCCACTTGCCCAGCCTCCCTCAGCCTCCTGAGTAGCTGGGATTACAGGTGTGCACCAACACACCCAGCTAATTTTTGTATTTTTGGTAGAGATAAGGTTTCACCATGTTGGCCAGGCTGGTCTTGAACTCCTGATCTGAGGTGATCCACCTGCCCCGGCCTCCCAAAGTGCCAGGATTATAGGCATGAGCCATCGCACCAGGCCTAAAGTTTTGTGTTTATGTTCAAAAAATTAATTTCCCAAATCCAATATTGGCTTAATTGCACTTCATGAGAAAACATCTAGGAGCAGTAAGAGAGCGCCTCTTGACCCCAGCTTCATGAATTACCTGGAGCTGTTTCCAAAGATACAAATGCCTGGGACCCTCTACTGAAGGCTCTAATTCAGGAGGTCTTTGGTAGGCCTTGGCATCTGCATTTTTCTTCAGTGCAACAGTTATTTGTAACACATGATCAGGGTTAAGCATTGTGGTTTTGGGTAGCTTAAGTTTGAATCCCCACTCTCATGCTCACTAGCTGGGAGAGTCTGTTAGTATTGGATTATTTATCTACAGAATGGGGGAAGCTATTTTGTCATGTTAATATGAAGAGAAAATGAGATAATGTCTTAAGAGGGTTGCCAAATGACATGGTTTGGATTGTGTCCCCACCCAAATCTCATGTTAGATTGGAAGAGAAGCCTGGTGGGAAGTGATTGCATCATGGGGGTGGACTTCCCCCTTGCTGTTCTCCTGATGGTGCATGAGTTCTCATGAGATCTGATGGTTTAAAAGTGTGTGGCACTTCCCCCTTATATCTCTCTATCTCTCTTTGTCACCATGAGAAGACATGCCTTGCTTCCCCTTTCCCTTATGCCATGATTATAAGTTTCCTGAGGGCTCCCCACCACGCTTCCTGTTAAGCCTGTGGAACTGTGAGTCAGTTAAACCTCTCTTCTTCATAAATTGCCCAGTTCTTTATAGCAGTGTAAAACCAACTCCTATACCAGATTTGGCAAATAAAAGTACAAGACATCCAATTAAATTTAAATTTTAGATAAACATTGAATAATTTTTTAGTATAGGTACATTCATGCAATATTTGGTAAATTCTTATACTCAAAAATTATTTGTTGTTTGTTTGAAATTCAAGTTTAACTGGGCATCCTATATTTCATCTGTCAACTGTATGTTTTAGGCATAGTCAGAACTCAATGAACATTAACAAAATCCCATTAACAGTCCCAAACTCCAGGTTCTACATGAGCCCCTCTTCCCCGTGCAAGGCAAGTTGCATAGATGGATAGATAGATACATAGCTGATAAAGTGGCCTTAGGCTAAGTTCATAGTGATGTCCAGACCTAGCGAGCTGAGGTTCTCACTGCCCTCTCCCATTGGTCACATTGAACTGTAGTAAAGACCTGCGGAGCCTGTGCGTGAAGAGATATGACTTCAGGGTGATGGAACAGCTCCCTTGAAAGAACAGAAGACTTTAAGTTAAAGAATCACTGAGATCTTCCACAGGAGGCCTACACGCTGCTGCTTGTGCTGCCTCCATGTCTCTAGTGAGCCCTGAAAAGTTCCAGCATATTTGGCACATACTCAACACTAACATCGATGGGCAGTGGAAAATCACCTTTGCCATGACTGCCACTCATGTGGTGTTGAGGAAAGCAGACATTGACCTCACCAAGAGGGCAGGAGTACTCACTGAGGATGAGGTGGAACGTGTGATCACCATTATGCAGAATCCCCACCAGTACAAGACCCCAGACTGGTTCTTGAACAGACAGAAGGATGTAAAGGATGGAAAATATACCCAGGTCCTAGCCAATGGTCTGGACAACAAGATCCGTGAAGACCCGGAGCAACTGAAGAAGATTCAGGCCCATAGAGGGCTTCGCCACTTCTGGGGTCTTCGTGTCTGAGGCCAGCACACCAAGACCACTGGCCGTTGTGGCCGCACCATGGGTGTATCCAGGAAAAAATAAGTCTGTAGGCCTTGTCTGTTAATAAATAGTTTACATACCTAAAAAAAAAAAAAGATTCACCGAGATTTCTTCCAAATTGTAACAGAGCATTAGATGGGAACCAAGGTGGAACAGTTTCTTAGAAGCAGCTTTCAGCACACTATGAGGAAAATCCTCAATGGTTAGAGAAGCCTATAGAGCCAGTAAACGAAAACCTATATGGTAGTGAGCTCCATGCCAATTGAGGCTGGATGATCACCTATCAAATGTGTCACGGATGAGATTTCCTCGAGTGGCTGGATATGTGGCCCAGCTGTTCTCAAAAATGCTCTGAAGTGAGGTCGGGCAGGGTTAATGTTGATAGTGTGACTCTTACTAAATGATGGCTCTCTAGCCAGTAATTTCAAAGATGCTTGATAATGATTGATGATAAAATATTAAGTGTAATCTGTAAATAATGAGGTGGCATTTCAGCAGTAATTAATTAACAAGCGTTGATAAAAATGAATTTAAAATTAATCTCAAACACACTCTATGAATGTAAAAACTTTTGTCATGAACTTAGGGTAAGGAAGACAGATAATATAAAAATGGGATTTGAGCCAAGTGCCTATTTTGACTTGTCAGGAGCAATTTTTAAATGATTTAGATCAATAAAAATTATACAAACTGAAATCTGATTGATCCTAATATATTTCTGATATTAATTAAGGCTTAAAAGGACCTGATATGAATCTCCCAAATAACTTGTAAAAATACAGACAGGCTCTCACTGTCTTGTCCAGTGTAGTGCTATTCACAAGTACTATCATGGCACATTGAAGCCTCAAACCCCTGTGCTTGATTCTCCTGCCTCTGCCTCAGGAGCAAATGGGATTACAGGCATGCACCACCACCCCCAGATTACAAATAATTTTGATTTTGATCCAGTTTTATTTAGCTTGCCTGAATTTTACATTCCTAAGCTTAGGCCTACCTTTCTGGATCCCAATACATTGCAGCAAGACTGGAAAATGTGGGCTGTGCAAGTCATTCTAATAGTTTAAAGAAAGGGGCTGGGCACGGTGGCTCACACCTATAATTCCAGCACTTTGGAAGGCCAAGGTGGGTGGATCACAAGGTCAGGAAATCAAAACCATCCTGGCCAACATGGTGAAACCCCGTCTCTACTAAAATACAAAAAAATTAGCTGGGCATGGTGGTGCGCGCCTGTAGTCCCAGCTACTCAGGAGGCTGAAGTGGGAGAATCTCTTAAACCTGGGAGGCAGAGGTTGTAGTGAACCAAGATCGTGTCACTGCACTCCAGCCTAGCCACAGAGCAAGACTCCATCTCAAAGNAAAAAAAAAAAAAAAAAGAAAAAAGAAAAAGAAAAAGAGAGAAGGAAAGAAGGGAAGGAAGGAAGGAAGGAAGGAAGGAAGGAAGGAAGGAAGGAAGGAAGGTAGGAAGGAAGGAAGGAAGGGAAATATCAACAAAATCTGAATTTATTTGCTTACCAGTATTCTGTATGACGAAGACACAAAAACATCAAACCTCCTATTCCTTGATTTCTACCTTGTAGAAACTTTTCAATAAATTAGGCTCTGAAATTTTCAGATTCTGTTTTGAATTTGTGATATGACCCTTCTCCATAATTAAAAGTTTTTCCCAGCAAAAGGGACCACTGGATCTACTACTTTGACTATGCCCCATCCCAAACACACACTTATGGGAAGATTCACTGGCTGAGGGATCCCTCGAACTTCAGACTGAATCTGGGCTTTAAGACTCAAGGCTCCGACAGACTCCTCACTTTGTTTAGTTGTTGTCGTTGTTTTGTTTGTTTGTTTGTTTTGAGACCAGGACTTACTCTGTTACCCAGGACAGAGTGCAGTGATGCAGTCATGGCTCCCTGCAGCCTCCATCTCCTGGGCTTAGGCGATCCTCTTGCCTCAGCTTCCCCAAAAATGCTGGGATTACAGGTGCATGCCACCACACCCAGCTAGTTTTTAAATTATTTGTCGAGATAGGGTCACCATATGTTTCCCAGGCTGGTCTCTAACTCCTGGGCTCAGGCTATCCTTCCACCTTGGCCTTCTACATTGCTGGGATTATAGGTGTGAGCCACTCTACCTGACACTTTTGGGGATTTTTGAGTTCAGAATGACCTTGGCACAATTTTATGGGCTAGCCTAGAAAACTGATTTGGCAGATACACATGCACATTCCTAATATAACACTACTTTTAAAAGAAATTACTTCCAAGCAACAAACAACTTAGTTGCAGATGGCTCTTTGGAAAACAATCCTTTCACTTTTTTGAAAAACAAACTTTGGGTACATGGTCCTTTCATTAGAAACTTATTGGATGGACAGGACATGATTTTTACTTTTAATAATTCATGTTATATATTACCAAAAATGTGATTCTGGTGATGTCAAAGCCGTGCTTTGTTCATTTGAATCTATTAAATAAATTACTTATATGGGAAATAAACTTACCTTAAACTTGATCAACAGGTAAATAAATAGGAAAGGTCTTAAATTCTCATCAGTAAAGAACTAAAACAAGCACACACTTGCTTTTCTAGATTGGAGGATAAATTTATCAGAGTCAGATTTTCCTCACCATGCAGCGTTTAAAGGCCGTTTATAATTATTCCTCATCTCCATCCTTTAGTCAATCAGACTCTCTTCTAACACATCTTTGGATTCTTGTCTAACTTCCCACTCTCATCACTGCCAACCCAACCACCAACTCTATGTAGCCCAGCTGCTCTTACAACCTGCTAATTGAATAGTTTTAATGGCCTTTTTATACGTCTATCCAAATCCACTCCAATCCTCTACTTTGTCACATTCATTCCTGGATTTTTCTCCTTGCAGTTTTGAATGTGCTAATTTTTCTATTGAAAATTATTCTACTCATTCATAAGACGAAAATATTTTACATTATTTCTCCAATTGAGCCATGTTGATCCATTGCTATTTCTTAAATGATGCCTCTGAGCAGAAAAGCTTTGTGATCTAATTAATTGAGCTGACACATTTATAGACTATTAAATGCACTTACACATTTATATCACACATTAAATATGCATGTCAAATGCATTTATAATGTATTTCCAGCTGGCCAGCCCACGTTTCTTTGCCCTTATCATTTTTTTTTCCTCTATACTTTTTTTACCTCTGGTAACTATAGAACATAGATGAATACTCTCCTTAGTAAATGCTTGGACTTAAACTATGATTAAGAGGAGAAAGACCATCTCCCCTATGCAAGTTGCTCATGTAAACATTTATTGACCATCTACGTTAGGCCAGAAACCATCGTAGGTACTGAGGATACAAAAATGGACACATCATGTCTATCCACAAGAAACTATGTCTGGTGCAGCTGTTTTATAATTTAGTGTTCTTATAAGAATCATGTAAGGGTACTAGCCAAAAATGCAGATTCTGGAACACCTAGTTACCCCACATTTTAATTTTAAAAGTTGGGAGTACAGCACAAATATCTGCATTTTAGCAAGTCTGCCAAATGATTCTTTGTTGTTTTTTGTTTGTTTGTTTGTTTGTTTTGAGACAGTCTCACTCTGTTGCCCAGGCTGGAGTGCAGTGGTGTGATTTTGGCTCACTACGTCCTCTGCCTCCCGAGTTCAAGCCATTCTCTTGCCTCAGACTTCGCGTAGTTCAGATTAGTGCCCAGCTGATTTTTGTATTTTTAGTAGGCACAGGGTTTCACCATGTTGGCCAGGCTGGTCTCAAGCTCCTGACCTCAAGTGATCTGCCCACCTAGCCTCCCACAGTGCTGGGATTACAGGCATGAGCCACCACGCTGGGGCCAACCCTCCAAGTGATTCTGATGCAGGTAGTCCATTGATAACATTTTTAAAACATCACATTGAATACTATTGAATGTTTTATATTTGTGCCTACAGTTCTGTACTGTGATCTGACTTTTTGAGGGATATTTTTGTTTTTTTTTGTAAAAGGTTATTTAAAAGAAAATGTTATGTAACCAGTTTCCTTTTCCTCAAATGCCTTTTTCACTTTCATTTTTAAATAAGAATCTTTTCATATTCAGAGATTATCAGTCAAGTATAAGAAAATTTAATGTATGAATGCTTTTCTAAAAACTTAGAAGTTTATCATGTATTTTCCTTATTTTTTTCACCACCATTAAACCATAACACAAAACATAACATTGTCACAACAGTATTATTACTTTACAAAAGTTTAGATTTCAAAGTTTACTACTAAGTATTTTTTTCTTTATACTTTCCCCATGCTTAGGGTTCTCCTGCTTCCAGGAGGAAAGGAACATTTAATTTTTCTTGTCCAACTAGAGGCCCAAATTATGACTTACGTGAGATGCAACTTCTAGCTATATGCTCAATACCTTGAAAGAGACTATGAAAATAAGTTTTAGCAAAACAAAACATGAAATAACCTTACCAAGTAAGTTTTTAGAGCTATATTTATATAGGCACAGTTTGTTACTTTTCTCACTAATGCTTAAGTTTGATGAGATAGTCCTCTCAATCTGTCTTCAACTTTCTTTCTTTCTTTCTTTCTTTCTTTTTTTTTTTTAATACTTAAAAAAAAAATAGGGCCGGGCGCAGTGGCTCACGCCTGTAATCCCAGCACTTTGGGAGGCCGAGGCGGGCGGATCATGAGGTCAAGAGATCGAGACCATCCTGGTCAACACGGTGAAACCCCGTCTCTACTAAAAATACAAAAAATTAGCTGGGCATGGTGGCACGTGCCTGTAATCCCAGCTACTCAGGAGGCTGAGGCAGGAGAATTGCCTGAACCCGGGAGGCGGAGGTTGCGGTGAGCCGAGATCGCGCCATTGCACTCCAGCCTGGGTAACAAGAGCGAAACTCCGTCTCAAAAAAAAAAAAAAAAAAAAAAAAATAGAGACAGGGTTTCTCCATGTTGGTCAGGCTGGTCTTGAACTCCCGAACTCAGGTGATCCAACCCACCTTGACCTTCCAAAGCGCTGGGATTATAGGCATGAGCCACTGCACCCGGCCCTGTCTTCAACTTTCTTTGCTGACTCACTGTGAAGTCTCTTGTA